ATAGTTTAGGCCTGCACAACTCAAAATTATAAGGCGGGCCGAAAGAGAATAGAACAGGGGGAAACTAATAAGAAAATAATTATAATAAAGAATTTTTCATTATTTTGCTGGCCTCAAAGTGGGTGCTGGCGGGCCGTATCCCGCAGAAAAAAACTTTGCTTAAAAACTGGGTGAAAGAAAAACTTTCACAGATAACATGATTGTGTAGGCTTAACCAAAGTCCCAAACATTGTCAGAAATTTTGGTGCAGTTTAGCACATGGCAAATGTTGACATCTTTACTTACATAACCATCTTATTTAACCAGAAAAACATCATCATAGTGTTAAAAAATGTAATTAATGCTTCTATTTATCAGAGTGTGTAATGTGGACACAAAGAAATATTTTATACTATACAAAGATAAGTCATTTTAAAAGAATATATCTTATAAAAAATAATTCTTCAATTTCCTTTTCTATTGACAATATCATGAAGGAAACCTTATGCCACTAAAGCTTCAAATTACCATCTATTATTTCTAATATATAGATGCAGGTGTTAAGTGAAATATATTTATTTATTTATTACCTTAGAAGCAAAGGATTCTTTGAAAATGTCAGACAGTCTTTTAGCAAATCTCTCTGATCTACCTGTCTCTGAGGCATAAAGGATTGTACACTGCACTCTGCTGGCCAAAGCCTTTGATATTAACAATCCTGAGACCTTTACAGCTCTGTATTACAAAACATTATCAATAGTTCAAAGGTCAAAGTTAAATTGAAAAACATGGCATCTAAATATTAAAACTTATTTTTAATAGATGGTAAAATTAATATCTTTAGCTTTGCTTGCATATGATGGTTAATAAATGTAATAACACAATATTGAATCAGTTGTAATTGATATTACATTTTCTAAACTTTAATATTTTAACTTTTACAGAAATTTGTGACACCTTGTAAGAATTGAATACAATGTTTACATTAATAACACCAACAGACCAATTCTTCCATTACCTTGCCAGTTCTTTAAAACCCAATTTACTCTTTGCTGTGACAGAACGTGACAGAACTGTTGGACATATTCTGATCCTTTTTACAAACATATTCGCTCAATGGCTTGACGTCCTTTTACATAATAAAAAAAAATATTTATCATAGAAGATATAATAAACACTATCAAGGGAAACAAGTTTGACATTTAATTGCTTGTGATGTGTTTTTATATTTGTTGCATTGGAGCAGACTTCTGTAGCAGATTATTTTTAAATATAGCTAAGGTATAGACAAATTTTAAATGTCTTCAAATAAATTGTTTAGAATATCTTTGTATAACTAAAACATTAAATATACATCAATGTTATCAATGCCAGTATAAAGCAAAACAAACCTGATAATCAAAGGAGGGTTTGAGCTTATAAAGCAAAACAAACCTGAATTTCAAAGGAGGGCTTGAGCTTATAAAGCAAAACAAACCTGATATTCAAAGGAGGGCTTGAGCTTATAAAGCAAAACAAACCTGAATTTCAAAGGAGGGCTTGAGCTTATAAAGCAAAACAAACCTGATATTCAAAGGAGGGCTTGAGCTTATAAAGCAAAACAAACCTGATATTCAAAGGAGGGTTTGAGCTTATAAAGCAAAACAAACCTGATATTCAAAGGAGGGTTTGAGCTTATAAAGCAAAACAAACCTGATATTCAAAGGAGGGTTTGAGCTTATAAAGCAAAACAAACCTGAATTTCAAAGGAGGGCTTGAGCTTATAAAGCAAAACAAACCTTAATTTCAAAGAAGGGTTTGAGCTTATAAAGCAAAACAAACCTAAATTTCAAAGAAGGGTTTGAGCTTATAAAGCAAAACAAACCTAAATTTCAAAGGAGGGCTTGAGCTTATAAAGCAAAACAAACCTAAATTTCAAAGAAGGGTTTGAGCTTATAAAGCAAAACAAACCTTAATTTCAAAGAAGGGTTTGAGCTTATAAAGCAAAACAAACCTTAATTTCAAAGAAGGGTTTGAGCTTATAAAGCAAAACAAACCTAAATTTCAAAGAAGGGTTTGAGCTTATAAAGCAAAACAAACCTAAATTTCAAAGAAGGGTTTGAGCTTATAAAGCAAAACAAACCTGATATTCAAAGGAGGGCTTGAGCTTATAAAGCAAAAGTTCTTGGTGAAAAATGTCCAGAGCTGAACTACTTATGGGTGGCACCACCCACACCCAATCACCAGGGCAGCCACCTCTTAAATGTTGCTCATTATCCAAGTGCAACATAAAAGACTCACTGGCATCGTGATGATTGACAATTGTAACATTGGCCGACTAATAAGAATAGAAATAAAGTAAGACATTTAATCCCCATATTTAAGCCACAGAGATGCAGGCTATACATTAATTGACAAGCTCAAATTTTCTATTTGTATTTTTCATTGATTCTAAAAGTATTATATACTTGTCTTATATGTATCTTGTACATGTTTTACAGATGCCTTATTTGTCATTCAGTAAGATTGAATACATTTTTTTTACATTCTTGACATTTTGAATGTTTAGAAAGAATATCAGCACAATCAAGAGTTGTTAAATGAAAAAAAATTTCAACATCTGTAAAATTGTATTATAAAGACTGTAAAAATCTGTATTATACAGACAGTAAAATTGTATTATAAAGACTTTAAAATTGTGTATTATATAGACTGTAAAATTGTATCATAAAGACTGTATAATTGTGTATTATCTGGACAGTAAAATTGTATTATAAAGACCTACCTGAAAACTGTGGAGAACAGCACGATTAGCCTCCAATAGTGCACGATCTTTCCACAAGGATGAAGCCTTTCTGGTATTTAGCCCCATCTTTAAGGCAATGGTCTAGGTTTAAAAAGTATACATTTTATTCCACACTTTCTTTTCTATGTGACCAAAAGACTATTTGTGATGTGAATGTTAAAGTTATTAACTTTATTTAAATAATATATTGACATAAATTATTTTTTAAAATTCAGTTAATAGAGGTAAACTTTGAAATAGTTTTCTAAATTAAGCCAGCTTGATTGAACCAAAACAGAGTCTTTTGTAATGATATCTCTGGCAGAAAATGTGTATTTTCAAATCTTGCAGCTTCTATGGGGGGATAATATGCCATAAGTGATTCAGAGTTACATCCTAGGTCGTGAGTAATGCCCTTTTGACCAGAGATTTTGTAGCTGCTAAAACCATTTGCAAAGGTTTCCATTAGAATTGCTCTCTTGTCACTAAGAGTTGTAATGGACCATGCAAATATTACAACTGAAGGGGGTAGGGGGAAGTTCATTTTGTTTGATAGTGTTAAATGGGGTTGGGGTGGTAGAGAGTAATTTGATATATCAATTTTTAAATTCATATTTTTTCATTTTCTTCTGTTCAAATTCATGAAATTAGAAAATATTTTTAAAATTAGATTACTATAATTTAAATAATTAGCACATTATTAAAACAAAATAATGTAAGTCTTTTTGTTTTTTAATCAATTAAATCATGAGGGCTAGAAATATTGTATACTAATGGATGGGGGTGATTGCTAGAAATGTATAATCTTAAGGGATGGTCGATGACCTTGTTACATAAAATTTTACTCTGGCAGCACGTTTCGTTGTTTACGAATTAATGTCCCCAGTTTTCTTTTGTGTTTTAAATGTGATTTTCAAAAAAAAAAAGTTTTAAAGTAAACGTATATTAAGACATGTCATGTATTCAAAAGTTAATCAACAGACCCAGTCACTAAACTTGAATATATACTTGTGTAAAAAATATTAGGCAAGACACAATAATAGTACTTGGTTAAGCACACAGGCCAGACACAATAGTGGGCCTAGTAATCGGTTAAGCACACAGGCCAGACACAAATAGTAGCACTTGGTTAAGGACACTGTCTAGACAATAGTAGCACTTGGTTAAGCACACAGGCCTGACAATATAGTAGTACTTGGTTAAGCACACAGGCTTGACACAATAGTAGCACTTGGTTAAGCACACAGGCCTGACACAATAGTAGCACTTGGTTAAGCAAACAGGCCTGACACAATAGAAGCACTTGGTTAAGCAAACAGGCCTGACACAATAGAAGCACTTGGTTAAGCAAACAGGCCTGACACAATAGAAGCACTTGGTTAAGCAAACAGGCCTGACACAATAGAAGCACTTGGTTAAGCAAACAGGCCTGACACAATAGAAGCACTTGGTTAAGCACACATGCCAGACAATAGTAGCCCTTGGTTAAGCACAGAGTGAATAGTTTGCCTAACTTTCACAACAGCTAGTCAGCCTTTGCCTAGATACAGTTAGGAAGAACAACATGTAGTCAGCCTTTGCCTAGATACAGTTAGGAAGAACAATTCTAAAATATAATTCCAGTTAAGAAGTCTTTAAACCGTACACACATCAATTAAGTTTTTTAAAAGATGATATACTCTGTTGTACAGGATACTAGGACTAATAGCAGCATGTCATTTTACCTCCAACATGTCATCAACATACCCCAGCTTGTTCTCATCAACTTACCTCAAGCATGTTGTACCTATGAGAATCACACAAGTCCCTGGACCCTATCTCTGTTCCCATGTACCATCCATTGAAAGGACATGAGGTGAACTCAAGGCCCCCACAGTCCAATAGCATTCCAGATACAGCTGGTAGGGCGTACCACTTTAGACCAATATCAGAAAACCAGGGATACCTGGATGGTATACAGTGGAAACCAAATCTGAGGAATTGTCCTCTCACCAAACATTGACATTTTTCTTTTAACTAATATTTATGCCAACAAGGCTTTTTAATTTTTTAAAATATGAAATCTTTTAAGAAAAAAAACGATTCTTAAATATTTCGAAAATGTTAAACAGTTGTTTTCAAAATTTTACGTAAGGAGTGAGAAAATTAATTTTGATAACTGATACAAAAAAACTTGCTTGAAAGAAAGAAGATTTTATAGGAGATTGACTTCTAAACTAACAATTTTAAGCATCAGGAATCAAGAATGAAATTAAACTTACTCAGGATGCACCAACTTGACCTCTAACACTAGCTCAGGTGGGAGGTCAAAAAGTTCAGGATCAAATCCAGCAGCAGATAGAACCAGTGGAAGTAGGTCAAACATACCATACTTTGGTTTCCAACCCATCTTAACACATTGCTAAAAAAATGTTTAAAGAGAGAATTAAGAGTTTTCAAGGATACAAACCATAAGATAAAACACTTTAATCTTTTGTATCTTGACCAAAAATTAAAAGACATCCAATGGTTAAACAGTGCACTCAGAGTGATAAATTATGTGGGACTGCGATCAAGCAGTTTTAAGTCAATAAAAAAATTGAACAAGATATGTTTAGGCTTGATCAGAAAAGACAGGACATTTAAATGGGCATTTTGCCTTGATATCCTCTTCAGCAGACAACGCAAAACAATAAAAAAAACCCATCAAATAAAAAAATTATGTTTTGAAAATCTCAATAATGTCGAAGTTCGAGATTTAGATTGAGAAGTGCACTGTTGTATTTAGAAACAAAAGCTAAGCTATTCAAAAACAAAACGTGAGCCCCACATTACTCTGTGGTGCGTACTGTCTCAAAATGAGACCTGTTACTAATGTATGTCCCGAGATGTGTTACCAATATATTTTTTTACCAATGTATGCCTTGACATGTGTTACCAATAAATATGTGTTACCAATATATGTCTTACTAATGTATGCCTTGACATGTGTTACCAATAAATGTCTTGAAATGTGTTACCAATGTATGTCTTGTCATTACATTAACATAGAGCAACAATTTGAGTCTTACATTAGTAAATTCCACATTGGCTGGGTCCCCAATAATCTTCCCGTCATCCATACTATAGCCAGCGTAGCCTATCAGCTGGCTATTCAATACACGGAAATCAGGGCGCCCTTCTATGCGTTGTGGAAATATGGTGATGGCAGACCTTAAAGAAGACAACAGCATTCACAGGACAATGGTGACATAGTGACGTTTCAAACAGAATATGTTGACGGTGGATTTAACAAAACATTGGAGATTTAAAAGGGAAATAATCCTTACATCAGTAATTTGGGACATGTTTTAGGAGTTTTTCTTTGCTACTTAAATAAAAGATGTTATCTAGAACAATTACAAATTTACAAAAGAGGTTTCTGTAATACGATTTCACTTTTAAGTCCATCCAGGTGATAAGCAATGATAATATGAGTTGTTGGGTTTACGCATAGTGAAGTCATTTATATTTCCATTTAAAAAAAAAAAAAACTAAATTCTTATATAAATATACAAATTTAGTCAAACTCGACATTCAAATATACATTTTTTACCAGTTACTTATTCCTAATGTGAACATTGTAGCAGTTACAATATACCATAAATTTGTTCAAATACCTAATATTCCCTTTGTTTGTCGCATATCTGATGTGATCGCACAATGCGGTATACATCCCTCGGGGTGTAACGATGGATCTGGCATCAAAGACCTATGGGGAGAAAATTCAGCTTTGATGTACTTTTATGTTTATATTGATGGAAGAAAAATTTTACTTTACCTCCCTTAAAGTCAAAAAAGAAAGTGTCCTAACATAAATATTACCTAATAGTTTCAATCAAGCATTTATCACAAAGTGCTAAACAAATTGTACCTCTTAAAAAAATTCAAGAAAATCTGAGGTGTTATCTTTTAGGATAGATTTTATAATTTAAAGTTTCAACTAATCAGTATGTAATAGATTGTTGGTATATGCCAGTAAGTAGGTGTGACAGCAATCAAAACAAATTGATGAACCGGTACTTATATTAGTTTAAACGAAGTGGCTATTCGGACCCGGGTGCGAGAAGTTAGAGGTTGGGATTAAATTTTAAAAAAATAATAATTATGTTCGGTTGAAAGACAAAATGTGGTATCAAATGATAAGATAATTGAATGGACTTTATGTTTGTAAACTTAATTCTGCAGTTTAACGAAAATAAACCCTACAATAATTTTTAAATATTTTTTAATAAACCAAAAATCAAACTTCTCGGACCCGGGTCCGAATAGCCGCAGCCTTTTTTAATCGTCTTTTTTTGGGGGGGGGGGGGAGGGTTTTGTGTTCAACAAATTGTTTCATTCACATTTTGAAAATGAAAAATAATGGTATACATTTTTGAAAGAGAGTTCAATTATTGTTATTTCGCCAGAATAAACGAAAACACGGGACATGAGAATTCCTATTTCCAGACATCTGCCAACAATGCCATCCCGTGCATGCTGTCGAGGGTTTGAGAATCACTGTTGTTATGTGTAGAGCGTTGTTGTCATGTTTGATAGGGAAAAGATGTTTGTTAGAGATTTTATGTGCAGCCGTATTTTGTGTGAGAGTGTTGTGACGTAATTGTGTAGTGGGAAGTGACGCGAGAGTTTTAGTGTTGTAGGAGAGGATAGATGGCGGTTGTTGTGCTGAGAGAATTGATGGCGGATATACTGGATGAAGTGTTTGGATTGGTATATTGATTAATATTTGGTTGGAGTGATTGTATTATCAAAGTCTGAAATTATACATCAAGTCTTGTTCGTCGAGTAGTGTTAAATAAACTACTATCTAGTTACAAACCTGTTAACGTTGGTTGTATTAGTAACTGTTGCTATCAGCTATGTTGTAGACTAGTAGACACTCATTGCCATGAGTGAATAACTACAACATAACGGATACAACAATGCGACACATGCTTACCTGGAGTTTTGACCACTGCATTCTGCCAATGCATCTAGGCGCATTTCTCCAAGCTTGCTTAGCTCCAAAGGTCAGTTCAGCCATTGTCAGGTCATAGGTACCGGACTTTGTCACAGAATCTTTGATCTCACTAAGTCTATTCAAATGGGCCGGTGTGTTGCTCCTTTGAAAGAATTAAGACACGAATGTCGTACTTTATAAAGAGATGTATTCAATAATCAATTTTTATTTTATTATAATAGTTTCACAGTTGTCCATGTCTGTACATTCATGTTTGTAAGCATACAATAAGATAGGCCCCGGTCACAGGCCCCAGTCACAGGCCCCAGTCACAAACTCCAATTTACAAACTCCAATTACAAACTCCGATTACAAACCCCAATTACAAACCCCAATTACAAACCCCAATTACAAATTCCAATTACAAATTCCAATTACAAATTCCAATTACAAACTCCCATAGGGCCATCCATAAAGTACGTCACGCTCCAGAGGGGGGAGGGGGTGTAAAAAAGTGTGACAGTTTGTGACGGGGAGGGGGGGGGGGGTAGGCCAAGGGTGACATCACACGTTTATTTTTTAAAAATCTTATTGCTAATTTTTAATTTTTTTAGTAGAATTATTAGTTTTAAAAAAAATTTTTAAAAATTTTAAAAAAA